ATGCACTACAGTCTGCTACATCAGCCCACATCTAGAAGGCCAACATCAAAGGCTAGTGAGGGTGTAGAGCAACCAGAGCTCATTCGTTGCTGATGAAAACACAAAACTGTCTCCACCAATTTTGGACAGTGGTTCGTCAGATACCCGTAGAAAAATCTATAGATATATTTATCATATGGCTCAACAATTGTACTCTTTAGTTCTTATCCAAATGAACTAGGAATACGTCTGTACAAAATCATTCACATGTGTGTTTATGGCAGCTTTGTTCATAACTGCCAATATAGGAAGCAACCGCGATGTCTTTCAATGTATAAAGGGGTAAACTGTGGCATATCCAGAGAAGGGATTATTGTCTGTCACTGAAAAAGGAGCTGCCAAAGCTGTGAAAAGACATGGAAGAAAATTAAGCATGTTGTGGTGGTTGGAATGAGAATGGTCCCAAAGGCTCTTAAATGTGAATGCTTGTTTCCTGGTTGGTGGAACTGTTTGAGAAGGATTAGAAGGTGTGGAGGAGATACGTCATTGTTGAAGATGTGTCAGTGAGGGTAGGCTTTGGGTTTCAAATGACCATGCCATTCTAGTTGGCTCACTCCCTGCCTTGCTGTTGTTATCTCAACATATGAGCTCTCAGCTGCTGCTCCAACATCATGCCTGCCTGCCTGCTGCCTTGATAGTCATGAACTCACCCTCTGAAACTATAAACAAGCACCCAATTAAATGCTTCCTTTATAAGTTTCCTTGGTCACAGTGTCTCTTCACAATAGAATAGCAGCTAAGATGCATATTAATAAGTGAAAGAAGTCAATCTAGAAAGGCTGCACAGTGTGTCCCAAGCTATATAATATTCTGTAAAATGTGGAACTATGCATAGTAAGTGATGGGATTGAAAATGGAAGGATGGATAAGCAGCGTCCTGAGGACAGTTAGGGCATTAAAATTGTTCTGTATGATACTACACTGGTTTATATTGGGCAGCAATATAAATATTGCTGTCAAATGCCATAGAATATACTACACTAGGAATGAACCCTAATATGACTTTGGGTAATGCTGTCACAATGGATTGTCAATGGTTTCAACTGTTGCATAGGGATTCATTCTCACCATTTACAGTAGTAGTTAGTACTAGAGGCTCTTATATCAACTTGCCAGGGTTCAGGTCCAGTTATCACTTTCTTTGTGGTCTGCTTTCCTCTTCTCTGAGACAGAGAAGAAATAAAAAGAAATCTATGTCAACATTTTAGAGAGGAGAAAATGAGATTTAAATTAGTTAGAGTAACGCCCGTCCCATAAAAAGTTTCAGCTCAATAAATCTTAGCTATTACAACGTTTACAAACTTACAAATGCTTTTTATCTGCAATGCTTTATTGAGTTTTTCTAGCCTCCCTGCAAAATTGGCATGATCGTCCTCACTCCGTAGACAAAGAAATCACATTTCACAATGGCTAAACAGTTGCCCAAGGTTCATAGCAGGTAAATCATAGAGTTATTACTTCAACATTGGCTATAAGATTTCAAATTCCATGTGCACTACCTTCTGTGACCTTTGAAATTTTATTTATTTTGTGTGTGTGTGTGTGTGTGTGTGTGTGTGTGTGTGTAGGCAGGCATGTGTGTGCAAGTGCACATGTAAATGCTCATGGAAACCAGAAGAGGGAATCAGATCACCTAGCACTGGAGTAATAAGGCAACTGTGAGCTATCTGACATGGGTGCTGGGAATTGAGCAATTCTTTTGCTAGAGAATTTAATGCTTCTAACCTGATAATCATCTCTCCAATCCCTTTGTGACCTTTTAAATCCATCTTCTATTCTTCAGGAAATCCTGGTATCTTCACTATTTCATATCTTTCTTTCCATTCCAGATCCTCAGTGCAACACAGACAGAGGGTTGTCAGTCCAGAGGAGACCTGAGATCTACTCCTGTGAGAGATATCACCACATGGGGATGTGAGTGATGACACACATGTGAAGGAAGGTGTTGCCAGAGGTCACAACCAGCTTTAGGATACAGCAGGATAGCTACTTTCAATATTAATATTCACAAGCTAGATGACACAAACCATGAGCTGAAGATTTGCCTGTGTGCTAAGTTGAAAGGATTTCCAAGCATCTGTCCCTCAACCATGGAAACTACAAAACCTGGTAATAGGAAATAAAAGGACAAATTAATAGCATAAAGAAAAGGGAAGGGGAGCAGCCCCATGTGCCTAATTTGAACATGAACCATAAGGAACATGTCTTTGGGTCTGCCCGAGCAGATTTGAGGAGCACAGAGGTGGTGCCTGTGTGAGCATGAGACACAAGGAGAAAAGGTTCCTCAGTGAGTTCTGTTTAGCTGAAACTGTTTTCTCTTGATGGGTCCAGGGGCCTCCACAACTGTTCTTTGGGGGATAAGCCTTCTGTGAAGAAGCATTTGTAATGCTAGGAAGATGCTTAGTGGCTTCCAAAAGTAGATAATGAAAAAGAAATGTCTTTGAGTGTATGTCTATAGGATGCCACATACTTTTTCTTTGGTATAAACTTCTAGGGCTAGAGCAGTTGAATTAAAAGATATACATACATACATACATACATATTGTATATAAACACACAAATTGCCTTCTGAAGAGGTTTTTACCAATTTATTTCATTCTGCATTTGAAGATATAGTATTATATTTCTAGAATAATTTTTCCCAATGCTAAAAAGAATGTACACTTTCCTCTGTAAACATCACCTCAAACAGCTATTGGTTCCAGGGCTTTGAATAAGATGCTGTTATGCCCAGGGAAACCCAAAGGTCTGATGTGCTGGTCAGAGATGACAACTTGATAGGATCCAGAATTGCCTGGGAGACATGCTTTCCAGCACACCTGTGAGGGATTATTTAGATGAGTTAGCCTCTGGGCATGCCTGTGAGGGGTTAGCTAGATTAGGTTAGCCTCTGGGCATGCCTGTGGGGGTTAGTTAGATGAGGTTAGCCTCTGGGCATGCCTGTGAGAGGTTATTTAGATGAAGTTAGCCTCTGGGTGTGTCTGTGGGAGGTTATTTAGATGAGGTTAGCCTCTGGGTGTGCCTGTGGAGGGTTATTTAGATTAGGTTAGCCTCTGAGCATGCTTGTGAGGGCTCTTGATTTTATTGACTGAGAGGGAGGATCCACCCTGAAGGAAGACAGCAGTCCCTGGTCCTGAGACCTGAAGTGCATGAGACAGTAGGCTAGCTGAGCACAAACATTCAGCATTCTCTTCCTCCTGATTGTGGACACAGGGTAGCCAGCTACCAAGCTCCTTCCTTCGGCACTTCTGTCACGATAGAATGTACTTTCAAACTGTGAGCCCACTAGTTCCTTTCTACCTTAAGTTGCTTTTATCAGAGCATTTTTTTTTTAGTCATAGTAACAGGAGAAGTAAGGAAGATATGGTTTCCATGATAGGATCACACCTGGCTAGGATACTTGCTAACTGTGTGACCTTAGAAAAGACATTTAATCTCTTTAATTCTTAGTTTCTTCATCTGTGAAACTGGAATAGTAACATCTATCTTAAAGCATTGTGATAATGATAAAGTTGGCAGCATTACAACTGATTAGGCAATAAGTAAATATACATCTACTAATTCCAGTTGCTGCTATTTATAGCTTTATTGAGATTTGTGCTATCTGTATCCTGCTCTGATCCATCACAAATGCTTAAAGTACTTGTGTCATAGAATGCTATTCTTTCATAGTGGACAGACTGAATTGAAACTGCCTTTAGTCAAGTTTTATTAAGGTACTAACAAGTTTTCTCCATAATCTCTATGTCAATTAAGATTTAAATTGTAAAAATTATCTGTTTTCTCCAGTTAACTACTATTTCCTATAATTTTAGACTGCTCAATATCAACTACAGAGAAATTCAGGTGTCATGAGTCCTGAGACATGATGATGGCTGCCTTAATATGTCTTCATTTATCACTACATTTGCTCTTATGGAACCCCAGTTATGGATTTATTAGTCACAGTATAAGATTCCTTCAAAGCTTGATATATATGACCCATAATTAAATCATATCTATCCAGGTCTATTAAGTTTAATCAAAATTATTAATGTGGGTCTGACAGAGTCTTCAGCAAGCAGATTTTGGGAAGGGCATACATGGGTGTTGTCTAATCTTAGAGCATTAACAAAGGATGTTGCTATTGGTCTATTAATCTACTTTTCATTACTATAATGAAATACCCAAAAGCAGACTAACTTTATCAATAAAAGAGGTTTAATTAATTCATAGTTTGGGAAGCTGAAAATCCAAACAGTTTGGGTCACCCTCTGGTGAGGACCACCTACCTCAGCTGCATCCCCTTAGGATAGGGGGTAATGACATCATCAATCAGGAAGCCAGAGGGAATGGCAGGGGTTAGGCTCAAGACCTTACCACATTCACTCTTGAGAGCACTCACTCCAAGAGACCAGCATTCCCTGTGTGAGGCAGGGATTCACCAACACACACACACACACACACACACACACACACACACACACTCACACTTCTTCACGGTTCTGTAGTTCTATAGCCCTCCACATTGTTATACAAAGGATCAAGCCAAGTGAACCTTAGGTTCCTAAGGAGGAAAGAGGATCCCACAAATGACAATAATAATGAATAAACAAATAAAATAAAAATGTGTGGTGCAGGAAGACCAATTCTGATGACTGTGTGAAAGACATGCTAATATACACAGTCTCTGACGTGTCATTGGTTGATTACTAAAACTGTTCATTCTCAATTGCTTATTTGTCAATGTCAGTGGGGGGGGGTAGGGGTGTCCTAAGACTCGGTGGCCCAGGAAGTGAGAGGTGGGAGATAATAAATCATGGCTTTAGTTCTCTGTTTTGCTTGTCAAGTGACATTTGCAGTCTATAGCAGAGTATAGAGTTGAGTGTGGTCGTAAGTGAAAGAATGTTTATCTCAACTAGAGGCAATCAAGCAACCTGCCTAGTAGTCTGATCACAGCATTGTCCTTCGGATTGTTTTAGGTCTATAAGTGGATGAGCAAGGTCAGCGAGAAGTATTCGGAAGTGCTGCATTTCCTGGGTATGACCTATGAGACCTGGCCTGTGTACTACCTGAAGGTGGGTACAGAGACTGAGCCTGACCTTATTGGCAGAATCTGCCCAGGCAGAAGTTACCACCCAGAGACTCTGCCAGAACTTTGGAGAAGAGTTCAAAATGCAGTGCCTTTTCCACCAAACTGGGCTTTTGCCCATGCCTTCTTCATAAAACTAGGGTTCTGAGGACCCAAACATAGGGGAATCCACAAGCAGATCACACCATAAAGATTCTTTAGAATTGGCTCACTTTTCATCTCTCATGTTCTTTGTTGGTGGTGGTGGTTTTGTTTCCTCCCCTGCCCTCCCCTCCCCTCCCTTTATGTATGTGCCTAGGCATGCTTGAGAAGTCAGAGAACAACTTGCAGGAGCTGGTTTTCTTCTTCTATGTAAGTAAGTTTTGGAGATCAAACTCAGGTTATCAGGGTTGGGGCCAAGTGTCTTTTCCTGCAGAGCCATCTTGTTAGTCTAAATGTTTCGTTTTAAAAAGAGAACCCTCCCCCTCCTAAAAACATGTTTAATACACAGAAACCTTCATTCATTATTCTGTGGCTTTACCACAGATGAAACAAACCTACAGAAGTAAGGTGATTTATACAAGGTCAAGGTCACATAACCAGATAACTGTATAACCAAAGAGATAGTTAGGGCCCCAGTTCTCCTACCCCTTGGCATGTAATGTGGTGCAAGTGTCTGGGGTCTGTAACTCTTCCTTAGGGCCAGAATCTCTAAGCTTTTAGATCTGGCCCAGGAAATGTCTATCCTGACTGGACATTAAAAATCAACTGTGGAGTGTGGCCAAATGACCTCTCTATCTCAGTCCCTCCCAAAGAGATGGCCTGATGTTCTAAGACACAGCATGCTTTGAAAGCTCCCAGGCCAGCCTAACTGCACCAAAACAATAACCTCTCCTTTTCCTCTTCTTCCTTTATTCCACTCCTCCTTTTCTGTCAGACAGGTATCAGAGCTACAATCTTCCACATACCCTGCAAGCTGTCTACTACTCACTTCCGTCCCATCCTTTTGATTATATTTTCTGTCAGACATATTCTCATACATAGCTTGGAATATATGCCTATGCCACCACACGTGACAAAGCAGTGATCTTCAAAGGGTGATCCTTAGTTTCCCACATCAGCAGCATCTGGGAACTTGTTACAAATGAACGTTTTCAGGTCTCTCATATCAGAAACTCTGGAGGCATGCTGAGAGCCCAGCCATCTGTGTTTTAACAGGCCTCCTCTTGATAATTCTGATGCCCACTCAAGGCTGTTTGCCCAACAAGTTCCAGGTGACATTGGTATGGTTGTTTTAAAACTATATATCATGAACTACCATCCAAGGAAACTGCCTTCAAAAGCTAGCATTATTATTTTGTTGCTCTACACATATGCAGTCATATGGAAGACAGAGGAAAACCCAATTGAGGGAAGTCGTGTGCATTTTGACATGACCATGGACATGTAGAGTACTCCAAGGCCTTGGACCCATGGACTACTTGTTCAAGCTGTTATCCATAAGGGCCAGACTCAAGAGGGATGGCAAAGCTTTCCTCAGGAGTCTAAATGAGTGTTCATATAGGGTTGGTGAGTGTATGCAAAAACTAGCAGCTGCAGCTCCCTTCCAATGTTTGCAGCCTGAGACTGCTACCTACATATAGTTCTTACAGAGATTAGCCAAGCCCTCCTGCTAAGCTGTGATTAGAAACCTGATGCTCTACTATGCATGTGTCTGTCTCTTCTTCCTTCCCTCACTGCAGCCCCTAGTCAGGGCCTCAAAGTTCAAACCTCTGTGGGATGCTGCAGTCATGCTAATTTACAAAACCCAGCTCCAAATTTGAGAACCACTCATAACTGTGTCAAAATTACATAGAATTCACTCAGAGACTGACTAATTGGTGTTGTTAAGCAGAGGGCATCAGTTAACCTGGGTTTTGATAGACACTCAAACTCTAAACTGAACTGGCCAACATGACTCATCGTCCTCTACCCAGGACAAGGATACATAAAAGAATGAGAACATGAAGGGGTAATAAGGAAGTATACATATGGTCATAAAATGGTTAATTAAAAAAAATGGAGGTAGGAGGGAGGTCAGGGACCATGCCAGAAACCTTGAGAGGCAGGGGAAGCTATGAGAAGAAAGTACCTTGGATATGACAATCTCAACCATGTCTTTGCCTCAGCTTGTAAGTTTCTTATGTGAAGGGAAAGAGCCTTCATCAGTTCAGTTCCCAAGACTTTGACAAAATGCCTGGTCTAGGCCATTAACAAATCCAAAACAGATACAACTGTTATAGCCTGGAACTGTTTAGAGCCCTTTTCCACCAAAGAGAACTTAAAATTGTCAGTGTAAACCCCACTTGCCTCTAGGAAATGGGCAGGTGACCAGGGTAGGAGGAAGATGGGAATATGGGTAGAGTAGCTGGAGACTTTAATAAGCACCATACAGGGGCGTGGACTTGGACCTATTCATAGTTCTGAGAAGTGAAGATTTGATTCATTTAAAACTACTTTTGATTCTTGAACATGATGGCAGATATATGCTCTGCCTCTCTGGGTGAATTATGTATATAAAGCCTATAGACATATAAGCCATCTATACATTTAGCCTCTTAGCTTGTGGGCAATTGACTTGAACTTGATGTCCTCTTGCCTCTGCCTTTCTCTAGAATGCTGGGATTAGAAGTGTGTGTCACCAGACCCAGAGTTTAACATGACTGTCAGGTGTTTCTGTGTGCAATAAAGGTTTTACTTTGCTTTTATTTGCAACCACTGGATAATTTACGGTGCAGGGGAAAATGATTTTTTGCATGGGTGCCCTGGGGAATCAGTGTCCAGTCCTGAAAACAACCATCAAGATAATGGAAAGAAGAATAAGGTAGCAGAAGAAAGAACAAATTGCTGGGTTTCTTTACCAGTATCCTTGCCATCCCAGAGGAAGTAAGAAAGGGCACTGTAGGGGTATTAAAGCCTGGTGGTTTTGCACAATTTCTTGAAATAGTGATCTTCGGTTATAGAACTTGAATGTCCTCTCCAGATCAGCAAACCAATCCAACAGTCCCAAGAAGATCATTTGGATGGGCTGGAATTCATGCCAGAGAATGGATTGTCCCTTGATTTTTGCCAATGCTTCGTGAAAGAGTTAAGTGTTTTTAGTTTCCTCATAGTGCTAAATCATGCCATTGAGTACCTGTCACTTCCAAGCTCTTTAGTAGCACTCTTCCTTCCCATTAGCTGTTAACTGTACCGAATTCATGTCAAGTGAAATGGAATTAGTGAGTAGCCTTGCCAAAAACTGAGTATCCTGACTCCATTCTACTGCATCCAAAATTACTTTTATTGGAAGGTAAGCCTACCTAAGTGTAGAAGAAGATGCATATTGGAAGTCAGAAATAATATTGAATATTGTCAAATAGTATTGGGAAAAGTTTCTGACATTGAGAGAAACATTTCACCTAGTTTTTCATCAATTAAGGAAACTTGGAAATAGTAACCCATGTGTCTGTGGATCAAGAGATTTCCCATATGGAAAACACATTGCATGGTGGGTTTTCATATATCCCTTCTCCTCTTCCTTTTATGGAGTGAGACAACTTTAAATAATATATTTTTGATAGTCTTTTTTGAAACACAAATATAAAAAGTAGCCCAGGAAGAGTAATTTCTAAGGCCAACAGCAGAACTGTAAACTGGGAGATGCACAAATTAGCTCCATATCTTACACCTAGTGAGTGAATTATAAGATTTCAAGGGGCCAGTGGAGGAAGGCAGAAGAGTAGGACAGTCAGTATTGTATTGTTGTTGTGAGACAGTCACAGTATTTAGTCCAGAGTAATCCCAAGCATACTATATAGTTTATGAACTTGAGGTCTTTTTGCCTTGTTCTGTCTCCAGAGTGCTGGGATTACAGGTACACCACACCACCCAGACCAGTGCAAAAGCAGGTCTGTTGGATGATTCTTTTTGCAATCAAATTTTAGAGCCACTACTATAAAAGACCAATGCAGTTAAGGAGAAGCTAGAGGCTGGAATTGTGATGGCAATCGTTGCTTATGACTAAGTCAAAATTTACAGAAAATTAGAAAAGAATGTTTTTTTTTTCTCAAGACTTCCTTTGTACAGCCAGCTCCCAGATAATGACATGAAGATTTCTTGTTGGTTATGAAAACTTGGCTGTAATTTAGGTGTGTTCCTAACTAGCTCATATAACTTAAATCAACCTATTTATATTAATTTATGTTCTGCCATGTGACTCGTTACCCCTCCTCCGTACTGTATATCTGACTTCCCAGTGTCTCACTGTCGAATTTCCCAACTCTCTGCTTCACAGGGTTCCTATCTCTTCCTGGAAGTCCTGTCTATCCTCTCCTGCCTAGCTATTGGTCATTCAGCTCTTCATTAAACCAATCAGAAGGTGTCCTGGCCAAAACACATTTTTCACAGTATATAAAAAGATTATCCCATAATAAGAATCATTCTAGATGTTTCTCTTTTAACTTCCGGATGATAAAGACAATGCAAGGATCAGCAGGCTCCTTAAGGGGCTGGACTTCCATGTGCTTCCAGCCCTCAACATTGATGGTTATATCTATGTTTGGACAATGGTATGGACACTGTGCTTGGGCCAGGGTTATGTTCATGTACTGAAGCTCTACTAGGGTCATGATTACGATGTCAGCCTTTCTAGCTATGAAAATCTTTCGTAGCCATGTAAAGAAAGAGACCCCATTTGATAATTTTATATTAAAGTCCATGTTAGGATGTAGAAGCCTAATACCTCCTTAGAGTTGGATCTAGGGTGAGTCCCGTTTACTGTTTTCCATCTACCATTCTCCATTTGGACTTATTTGGGTTTCTTCTGCCATCTTCAGTATTATGATTTTCCTACTACATGATTAGCATTATGTTGATATAGATCTCATATCTACCTACATCTATGTCAGATCAGTTCTAGATGCATGATGGGGAACAAATGATGTCTTGATACTAAACTAGCCTGGGGCTTTCAATATCATCATTGGCAAGGTTAAATATCTCAGGCTTCTAATGCAGTAAATAGCAAAAAGCTTTCTCCATACAGTGTTTATAAAGCATATCACTCCCGAATGAGAGCCCATTTCTAGAAAGCACCTTCTTCCTCTCTTTCATTACTTCTCAGAGTTCCCCCTTTCTCAAAAGCACTCCCTCTTTCTCCTCCTCCATCCCTTTCCAAAGCTCTTTCATGAGACTCCTTTTCTAGAGCAGCCTTTCTGGTCCCGTGTGTGAAATGAGCCCCCCCCCCCACAAACACACACAAGCTTTCCTGGTGACTCTTGTATTTATCTCCATTTCTACACCCCCCAAAAGTGCAAACAAACTAATGAAAATCAAACAAACATAAATATCTCTGTTACACCTGGAATGGCCCTTTCCATTTGATAAGCTGTTTGCCTTGCATTTTATATAACTCAATCCTCCAATGTAACCAAAGCTTCTGTGAATAAGATAGTGTTCGTAGACCCAGCTCATCTGCTCAGGAATGAAAAGCCAAGCTAGTCCTCAACTAGATGGCTTACACATCTGTTCACTTTAGTTTGTACAGATGTTCCTAATATTGGGTGCCATTGGCCTTGTGGTAAAACCAAAATTCACATATGCACAAATTTTACAATGGCAAAGGCAAGTTTGTTTGTTTGTTTCAGATAGTCTATGCTCCAGAGCCACTTGTCCTTACTGGCACTGATTTATGAAGCCTCTGCCTATCAACACACCGTGGTTCCTCTGTTTCAGGATCCTCTCTGGAGGAAGTCCCACTCATCCCATAATAATGGCACATGCTTTGGAACAGATCTCAATCAAAATGTCAATGTCTCCTTGTGCCGTAAGTCCTGCTCAGCAGATAAATTCATGAACACCAACTACCTCAAAGGGCTGAGAAGCAAGCTTCTTGGGCATTCTGACTGCTTTTATTCTCTTTAAAGAGATGGTATCATCTATACAGTACTCATGGGTAGAACTCTCTTCTAGGGAGATTGGCTAAACAAAGACAGAGTAGATCTAGACTAATATCTTAGGTATTAGCTCTATTTCTATTGCCATGATGAAACACCATGATCAAAAAGCAAACTGGGGAGGAAAGTATTTATTTGACTTATGCTCTCATATCACTGTTCATCTGTGGGGACACCAGACCTTGAGCAGAGACCCACTTCCCCTTCGGCCTGGGAGCAGGCAGCTGTGAGACAATGTTTACTGAAAACAATTCAGGGCTATAAAGCTCTTGATAGGGCTCAGATAAGGGCTTGCTCACTGAAACACCATGACTTTGACACCTCCTACGGCTAGATGTCTCTTCCTGTTCTCCCTGCTGTTTCTCCCCGATTCTGGGGCCTGAGATTAAACCACCAGCCAGGAGGGTGAGAAGTCTGGGAGAGCTGTAAGAGAGCTCGGTTGGAGAATTGTATGTAGATGGATGGCAGAAGTCCTTAAAAAGGGAAGCGGTTTTTTTTTCTTGGAGAGTTCTCCTAAGCCAACTTGCGGGGTGCTCCTAAGCCAACTTGGGAAGCATAAAGTTTTCTTAAAGCAACCGACCGGTCTCTGTGTCATCTATCCCGACCACCTCGCTACATTCTAGGATGCAGCAGGTGCGACATTCATCAAGGAAGGAAGTCAGGACAGGAACTCAAATAGGGCAGGAGCCTGGAGGCAGGAACTGATGCAGAGGCCACGGATGGGGTGTTGCTTATTGACCTGCTCCTCATGGCTTGCTCAGTCTTCTTTCTTATAGAACCCAGTACTACCTGCCCAGGGATGGCACAACCTACATCAGGAGCCTGACCCTCCTACATCAATCACTAATTAAGAAAATGTCCTACAGGCTTGCTTACAGCCTGATCCTATGGAGGTATTTTCTTAATGGCTGAGCCATCTCTCCAGTCTTAATTGAGGTTCCCTCCTCTCAGATGACTTTAGCTTGTATCAAGTTGACATAAAACTAGCCAGCATAAACAGTCAGAATATGTTTTAAGCCATCACTTGTTTTTAAAATATATAGCTCACCACCAAGAAGATTAAAGCCAGAGTGCTGTCTTTGGGTATTTTTTACAGCAGGAGGCAGACAGCAAGCAGAGTAAACATTTTCTTCTCCTTGAAGCAATTCTGTGTCTGCAAATCTCGAAATGTTCAAAGCACTGGAAGCAAATGATGAATCGGGGGTGGTAAGAATACTTGCACTCACTGAATGGCAAGGGTTAAGATGCAATCTCCATTGCTTGGTCTTGAAAAAAAAAATGCCTCGTCTTTCTGTTTGTTTGTTTGTTTTTTATTTAGAGCATTGGTCATACAATCCCATCTTAACCAAAGTCCATTATGTGTGTTAATTGTGATGCACTGATCTAGCATGTAGGAGACTTACTGTTATTAATGTGGGCAGACTGCCTGGGTTCTTGCAAAATAGCTGTGATGAGACAGAAGCCAGTAAGGAAGACATGGCGGACAAATCTGTGAGAACCCGATATTTGATTCCCAACACTACCCCCACCCTCTCACCCCCGCCAAAGCCCCCTGTTTTACCACAGGTTTAAGAACAGATTATTACACTGCCATTTCATTTTGCATGAGTTTGCACAGTTTGAGTCTAGATCTTCAGGCCAGGTCCCATGCTGTTTTGAGCTCCTCACTGGGTGGCTACTTTAGTGGCTATGCAGTTGATTAACTTAAAGGACTGACTTGACAGTCACAGACAAGCCTGGAGTACCCTGAGCAAGGTTCGCTATTCAGTTTGTAAACTGAGATCATGACACGTTTCCGTGGCCTCCTGTATTTTCCAGGTATCAGCACATCCACAAACTGCCAAGATTTAATGTTCTATGGAATGGAACCAATATCAGAATCAGAGACTAGAGCAGTCTCCAGCCTTACAGAAAGCGAGGAAAAAGACATCCTCTGCTCTCTGGCCATGTACTTTGATGGGCAGCTCACTCTCACACCATATGGATACACCAAAAATAAATCAAGTAGCTTTGAAGAACTAGTGAGTCCAAAGTGCCAAGGCCTCTCTAGACAAACTTCCACAGGGCTACTGCCTTTCTTCCTCTGATTTTCATTTCCAAGAGATTTTGGCTCCATTCTCCATCACCCCCCCACACACCATCCTTATTTTCTTTTTCCTGCTTTTCATACCTTGCCAGATGCCTGCTGGGAAGACTCTGGGTTAAATGTTGCTTTACCTATGCTAATTAACTACCTGTTTCGTGAAGTGTCAAGTTGGGAGGCATCTTAGGTGTTTGGCTATAATATAAATGAGATGATTATGTTAATAATCTGCAGGAATGCACTCTCCTTCCTGTATGTTCTCTCGAAGCTCCATTCAGCGATTACAGCTTTTGAACCATGCTTAAAAATTTTGCCAGCTGTTAGTGGAATATGGCATGTCTAAAATAATACAGCTAAATAATATCTGCTCTCTTTTCTACTAAGCACAGCGCTGTGGTTCCTTCTAGACTCTTCTTGCAGCGTTTGTAAGAGGACGTGCCAGGGAAATGCACGCCTGAGCAATGATCTTGTGCTGTTTTTTCCAGGTTCTTCTCTGGAGCCATGCTTACCAATGCTCTGGTACACAGGCTTGCTGCAGAGAATCTGAGGACCACAGTCACAAATCAAAGGGAGACAAAAATGCAGAATCGCTGTAATAGTTACTATGTTTTTAAACAAGCTTTCTTTCTGTTTTAATTGTGGTAAAATACACTTGGTATAATTGTACAATGGCAACCATTTTTAAGTATAGAGTTCAGAATCTTCAGTGTTGTGTACCAACCCCCAGGACTGTCTTATTGTGTATAACTGGTACCCATCATGTGACATCCCCATTTTCCTCTATGCCCAGCTGTGGCAATCACCAGTTTTCTCTCCACATCTATGATTATGGCAAGTCTAGATGCCTCACATCAATGGAATGGTAAAGGGTGGGTCTTTTTTGGACTAGCTTATTCAGCTTAGCACAATGTCCTCAGTGTGCATCTCCTGTAGGATGTGTCACAATTCCCTTTTTTTGTCTTTTTGGTTGTGAGACTTTCATGGCCAAACCATCTCTTCATATCAACATTTTCTTCCTTTTTAAGAGCAAGTAATAGTCCACTGCATGTCAAGTGTCATGTTTTGTTTGTCTACCCATCAGTGGGCACTTAGGTTCATTCTACCTTTCTACATAAGGCCACTAAGAATATGGTTGTGCAGGCATCTCTCCAAGACTCCACTTTCACTTCTTTTGGATATATCTAGAAGCATAGTTTCTGTCATATGTGGTAATTCTGTTTTTGCTTTATTTTTTTTATTTGATATATTGCTTTCCATTTTGGTTGTACTGTTTAATAAAGCTACCTACAGCGTGCAAGCTCACACTTCTTCATAGTCTTGCCGACGTTCGTTATTATTATATTTATTAAAATGAACTTAACTTTTAAAAAGAAGGTCCTCATGATATGCAGATGATAGGGTGGATGAGAGCAAATCCTATCCCATTGATGTCACAGAGGCCAGGTGACCTCTTGGCTATTTTATGTCTCCTGTCCTTTCCCCATTAGAGCATGACCCATGAAGTACAGGCAAAGGCTAAAAGATAACCCCGAAAGACCTTTTGCCGAAGGAAGCTCCCAGAAGTCAAAAATACTCAGCAATACCTAAATGCCTTTCTTCAGGTCATTTTTTCCTTCTACAGTTACAAAAATTTATCCTATGTGATTATTTTGAAATTTGTAGAAATAACTAATATTTGCTTGGAATTATTACAACTACAGAGAGATTCTAAAGCCAATATCAATTGACTCCTGTGATGACATAATAAACTCACTTTGGGAATATATAAATAGAGCTTGGGTTGCCTACATTCCCAGACCCCTCCAGGGAGAGCATGGAGGTGCCTGGGTTAGTCCTCTGCTTGCTGGAAGCCCTTGTATCATCTCCACAAAGCCTTTCTCTGCTTAGAAAGGATTTTTGACTTTTTGAAGTCACTAATCAATGTAGATTTCCCATCAACCTTGTGCTCTTTCATCCTCAGTTGTAATTCCTGGCACTCTTTCCTGTGGTAGAGAAATTTGCAAATATACGGGTATTAGTTATGAAGTCCAGAACTAGGCTCATTTACCAGCTTTTGTGAGAGTCATTATAGATTTCTTCTCTCTTTGAGAGAACTGTAGCAAAGCCAGGTGAATCTCCAGAGACATTGTAGATCTTCAGTGGGAAGGTATCTTCCAGCAACCAAAGGTCTTCATGGAAGGTATCATCTTTCAATATAATACCTCAGTATTTTTTCATGTCATTCCTTTTAGTTCAGGAATACAAATACAAAAGTCAGAGGGTCTCTTTCAGATTGCCCTTCTTGTTAGAGCCCTATGGCCACAGGCGAAAGAGAGCATGAGAGAGAGGCTTAGATTAGTAACATAGGAACTGCTTGCTGGAAAGTGCTTCTAAGACGAAAATATTGGTAAATCATTGGGTTCACACATAAAGACCAGTAGACTTCTATGTCTTTTGCAGCATTGGGTGCGGAAGAATAAGCATAAATATTTATCTTTAAACTTTTTGATAGGAAGTATGAAAATTTTGTATTATGTGTCAATCTTATTGAATCTTGTCAACATTTTCAGATTCCTGAGGAGAAGCTATAACACTGCACAAAAGCACTGAACCAATCCCCTTGCTCCAAGGAGATTTCCATTTCTGGAATTATTTACAGTGACTGTGTATTTACAAAGCCAAAACTTGACAGTCACTATTGTAGAAGAAACAGGAATATATATATATGTATATATATACATCCACTTTCTAAACTGCTCTTGAAATCAGAACACCTATCAGAATGTTTTAAAGTTTTACATGCTAGAACTATTCATGCTTGAACACTTTCATACAAATCTCTGTACTCCATCTCAAGTTGTTTCTTTCACACATCAGGGTCTTTAATAAAAGTCTTTGCACATCTGCCTGTAACTATGTCCTTACAGCCCAGCAAAAGAGCTCTTGAGAAGGCTAGAAGGCTTTAGCAATATATCATGTTCCACTGGAAAGGTGGATTTCCTTTGTTTCTAGGAAGCACCTCTAAGTAGAAAAGACAGACACAAACATAACAACCCTTTCTGGCCCTCAGTGCAGTTTAGGAGAAAAGTCTATTCTGGAGCTCTATCCTGAGATGAAGTAAATCCAAGGAAGCTGGGCCTGGTGCCACACACCTCATTTCCAACACTCAGGAGTCATAGGCAGGTGGATCTGTGTCAGTTCAAAGCCAGCTTGGTTTATAAATCAAGTTCAGGCCAATTAGAGCTACATAGTAAGAACCTGTCTCAAAGAAATATTAAACGTGAAGAGGTTGGTCTGCAGACCCAACACTGCAGGATTTGCACAACACAGGACAACAACAGGATACTCAAGAGGAGTCCCAGTGAGGGCCCAGTATTGATGGTGTAGCAGAAACTAGAGGCCTTGAACCGGACCAGTGACTCTTTGCAATGAACAGTTAAGTAAAGATGTTTGGATATAAGGGTTTACTACAAGATTCAGTGTATCACACTACAGCATTCATGATGAATTTTTTTCTTTTTTTTCTCTTAAATTTTATTTTTTGGGGGACGTTACAAAGGCAGAGGACAGATGCAAAGAGACAGGGAGATGAAAGGGATCAAGATACATGATATGAAAGACACAAAGAATAAATAGAAAGAAAGTGAAAAACTGAGAACAAACAAACAAAAATGAATAAAAATTGAAACAACAGAAAGAAATCTATGGAGTTTCTATTTTGTCTTCTCAGGAAGAATCAAATGTATCTAAAAGCTAATCATCACAATTCTGTTTCTCTACTTCTTTATAGTAATTAATAATGGGGAAAAATTCCCAGGGTTCTTTTTTCAATGAAGAGGGGGAAATCTTTGTGTGCTATTCCACAGCTAAGATTTGAAGAGAATGAACTACAGAGAATAAAATAGGTAAAGGCTGGGCCATGAGGTAGCTGGGATGAGTTTCAGAAAAGGAAAAAAAAATCGAGGAGTAATTTGAATGAAAATGTGTAGCCTAAGGCTGATTCATGTGACAGAAATAGAGGATAAGGACCCTGTCAGACCAGTTGGCATGGAATTTGATCCAGGGAAGGACTGGGGCACATGTGAATTGAAAATGATTAGAAACAACTTGTTTCTTCGGTAGATGATTTTCACAAGTGAGTATAGTTGGCAAGTCGCTGTCCCCCAGAACTGCTCTTAGTTTCACGGGTGACAGGCAGCAGCTCCCTGAGTCCTTCCCCTGGACTACTCTCATTTTCATAGCTAAGTTTTCTTCTTTCCGACCCCCTTCCTCTCACAGTGTCCTCTTCTCAGTGAAGCGACTGCTTTATTCCTGGCATTTCATCAGCCTTTTCGACCCCTTTCTCTGTTCTGGGCAACACAAACCTGGGAACTGAGACAGACTCAGAACTGTTTGATGTGAAAAGAGAAAGAATCAGTGAGCAGAGACAGAATTCTCAGCAGTGAGAGGGGAGAGAAGTAAGAAGCCTGTGTGTGTGTGTGTGTGTGTGTGTGTGTGTGTGTGTGTGTGTGTGTAAAGAATATGCAGAAAGTTCCAAATACCTAGAAGATGCTGCCCCTGACCGTACTACCACCACTTGTTGCCTGCTTGATTCCTTGGAATTTCTCTAGGCTCCTCCCACCTCTACCCAAGCACCTCTCAGTAGCATTTTTAGCACTCACCTGTGAATTCCAGAAAAGGAAAGGAGAGAGGGGGTTCTAAAACTAGGCCTCTACTAGCTGAGAGAGTCAGGGGACCTAATATACCTCTAAGTGACCTGGTTGTTTAAGACCAACACAACTGAACACCACAGTGCTGGCAGGAGGGACAAGAGGCTTTGGTGGTGTCTGTGTAGAATCTAAGCAGAAGCTGTGGGGTGTAGTATGTGGAGGATAGGCTATCAAGTTGGGACGTCTGGAATCAGAAGTACTTAGAAGGTCTGCAAACAGACCTACTTAAAAAGATTTATCAGGAAGTCAGTAAACACAGGAGTCAGCAGAAGCTCAGTAAGTGCTGTGTTTCAATAGTGACTGATCTCAGGAAAGAACCTGCAGAAGGGAAGGCAGAGACCTAAGGGATCTTCGAATCCCAAGAGATTGCCTGCAGAATCAGGAGACATGGAATAGAGGGATGCATCAGATATCTGTGAGAAAAAACAAACAGGTAAAACCATAAAAGGGCCATGACGGAAGGACTGTGAAAGAAACAATGCCAGAAAAAAGAGAATCCAGTAGAGGAGATCAGGAAAAGGCAGATGGGCAGAGAAGTTGGAGAAACCCCTCAAGGTTGGGTCAGTAGGTGGGGAGGTTAGTAGAGGAAACATCCTGAGAAACAAGGGAAGTTGATGGACATGGTGTGTGTCCTAGGAACAGTGAGGAAGATTTATTTGATTACAATGTAGAGTAAGTGTCTAGGATACAGTATTGGAAAGGTAGATTAGGAACACATTGTAGAGCATCTCAAAATCTAGGCTAGGCAGTCTGTGTTTAATGCAGCGGGCAATGAGGAGATACTGAAAGCTTTTCAGCAGGGATAATGAACATAGATATATGCATCTGGAAACCATGTGGGATCAGCTGGGATAAAGGCTGGCGGGAAGTGTGTTAGAAGATGCAACAGACCAATTCTGAGGTAATGAGTCTGACAAGGAGTAATAGCAATGAAAATCCACTTGGTGATTTTGAGGGGGAAAAGAAGAAGTCAAAGATATCTACAATATGCAAGACCAGAAATAGTGACAGCTTCATTGGTGGAAGACATAATGAAAAGGGATGTGGGCGTGGTTAGTATGGGATACCAACAAGCTACCTAGACACGAATGCCCAATGGGAGGTTGGAGAGATAGTGTAAAGCCTCAGGGATAGATCTGTACAAAACATAAAACCCTTGGATTGTCGGATTTATTTTTAAAACCAGCTCTCTCGGCATTTCCCACCTACAGATTCAAGTTGGACAGAAGGCGGCAATGCATTGAAAGCAAAGCAAAGCATGGAACCAATTATAGAGTTGGATCGAGTGCAGATATTTTATGTAAGAATACTTTTTTGTCTCTTTAATGGTATCTAAGGCACAGAAGAAATCAATGAAGTTTTAGATGGTGAGACGGGCCAAAGAGCAGGAGTTCCTGTGACCCACAGAGAGCTGTACGAATCAAAATGACCCAGGATAAAAGGAAGTCTGTGTGATTCAGTATTGTACTCTCTAGGGATAAAGTATGAGTGAAGGAAAAACAATGATACATTGGCTCAACCCAGAATTTTCTCTGGCTTGAGTTAAAAAGAGCTGTCAAGTTAGAAGGCACAGGAGTTAACAGGAAGGGTATTGTCCTTTCAAGCTTGGTCAGTTGACTACAATCCCAGGGGATCCGCCTTCCAGGAAGGAAAAACAGGGCAGGACTTGGGGAGGGGTCCAAAGAAAGGGTTCAGGGGAGGGAGGGTGTTGCCCTTCTCCCAGCCTAGAGCACCTCCCCCAGGGAGCCCCTGGGCCCCACTTACCTAGTATTTGTATCATAATTTTCCTGTGATTGTCTCAGATTTTTGGTCTTTGTTTTTCTTTTTAAATTTCTTTGTGACGATGCTTCCATTCATTCTTGCCTTGCAGTTCAAGACCGCCTCATTTGTTTGATCAATTGAGAAACTTTAATTAAGCCTCTGCTATGTTCCAGGCACAAGGAAGAGCAAGGTGCCAAATAAAATGCAGGATGCTTACCAAGGCCGGAGGGGTCCTAATCAGGGACAGCTCCTTCATTTTACCAAGAATCCTTTATGCCCTGACATGGCCTTAGAAGCCTGCCTTTCAAAGTGTGACTTCCACATTTATCTCCTGTCTTCATTTAGAGATGCTTTGTCAGGATCCTCCAAAGACTGGGCTCCAGACACTGGGGAGCTCCTTCGCATATACATTTGTGCTGAGGGACGATGGTACCCACTGGGTTTTCTTCTGCCTGAAGCTCTCATCCAGCCCACATGTGAGGAGACCTTGGAAGCAATGCTCTCTCTCACTCCTTGATGGTGTGTACAGGAATTACTAGCTCACCAACGGTGCCAGGAAGGCAACAGCCACAATGTTTGCACTGACCGCTGCGCTTCCTCACATCTCTCCTCTAAGGGCCTCCTGCCTTGGCCTGCTTAGTCCCAGTGATGGGAATATGGTTAAGGTGAAGGTATGTGTTGTTGTACAGAAACCAAAGCATGAAATTAAAAATACTCTATATTCTAATAAAGAGTCATGTTAGCATTTTAAACATTTGCTTTGCTGGTAATTAATTTTTATTGCTCTAGAAGAATATTGTACTACTTAGCTATTACAACTATAAAGCTATAAACTAAACCCTCTTAAAATCCAGTGGTGCGTGCACCTGTACACCAGTGAGAAAATTCTGCTGATGTGGCCGTGCTCACTGATGCATCTGAGCTAAGCAGCAGCTGACTGGATTGACCAGGCTCAGTCTGAACCTGGATGAGGTGCTATATTTGTGCTCCTGTATCTTTTTTTTTTCCAGCAGGTTTGGCCTGACTTGCAGGAGGGGATCAAGCCCCAGCCTACAGACACTATTCAAACTTTTGACTACATTGTACTGTTAACATCTCATTTGTGCTGGCTAGTTTTTTTTTTATGTCAACTCAACACAAGGTAAGGACATCTGGGAAGATGAAATCTTAATCGAGAAAATGCCTCTATTGTTGGCCTGTAGGCAAGTCTGTGGGGGAATTTTCTTGATTGGTGGTTGAAGCTGGATGGCCTAGTACATTGTGAGCAGAGCTGTCCTGGGGCAGGTGCTTCTAGAAGGGGTATATAAGAAGACAAACTGGGCAAGCTAGGAGAAGCAAGCACTCCGCTATGGCCCCCGCTCTGGTTCTTGCCTCCAGATTCCCGCCCCGAGTTCCTGCTCTGACTTCCTTCGGTGATGGACTGTGATGTGGAAGTATATGCAAAATAAGCCTTTTCCTCCCCAAGTTGCTTTTGGTCACGTATTTCATCACAGCAATCGAAACCTCACCATTGAGCAAAGGATGTTAGTTGTCTGAGTGAGTTGAAGGGTGGGGCAGAATACAAAGTGAGGCTTGCAGAGAGCTGGGGTCTTCATTGCAATCACTGTAGTTGCTGTTATCACAGCCCTGAGCTTCACGGTTTAGCTTTGGAGATGAGACAGCCCAGCAGAGACATGCTCAGCTCCGATTGTTAGGATTCTGGGGGTTGTGCAGAAAAATCCCACTGTACCTGGAATCTAATTAGAAACCCGCTGACCAGCGTCTGTGTTCTACTTATTATTTTGAATTTATGATCCCAATATTCACTGAGGAGAGGAAGTACAAATAAGTTCCTTGGGTCTTGTTTCAGTCGTTACCGTATGAATTCTTTAGGAATTTGCTTGTGTCTTTGATCTTTTGTATTCATGGGTTAGTGGCAGCAACTAGAAAATAGGTTATATAATTTGTCTATAGGGTTGCTGCTAGCTTTAAGTATTTATCTAATTGTTCTGCTTATTTTTGTTATTATTATTAATATTATAGCATCACCTAAGTGTGTTTTGAATGGCTAGGAATTCACAATGGTGATTAAGTTAGGCACGGTCCACATGTATTTGGATTTTATATTACAGTGAGTGAGATTCAAATAGCAGCCATGAGTAATTGGAATGGACACACTGTCTCATCCAGGGCAAGCCCCAGCTTAGTGGAAGCAATATAGCATGAACACAAAGAAATAAATGAAATACTCCAAGTGCTATGAAGAAACAGAGTTAAGAGCTAAAAGGGCCAGCCTGTATGTTTGAGACTATCTAGGCACTTAACTGCACTATCTCGTCTATTAAATTTCAAGTGCTGTCATTTCCTGTGTATCTCCATGTGACACCTTGAAATGGTGCTAAGCATTTGACAGGCTTTGAGCAAATGCAGCTGTGACTGGCTGACAGGATGTCCCTAGTGTTTAGTCACCCATTTCCAAATTTCCTTGTTGGTCACAGTCACAATACACTTCCCAGTCGGAACCCTTTTGTTGTCCTTCTTTGTCCTCTTAATTTCTCCATGTTTTCCTAGTGTGTGGCTGATAAGGGTCAGAAAGGAAATGTCAGGGCCAGTGGTGTTTCATGAATCAAGGAACAGAGATTTACATGAAAATGCCAACTCCACAATTGCAGCATGGGGCGGGGGCCAGTTAGTTTTCATCCATGGTCAGCCTGGAAAAGAAGAGAGCTGATGTGACCAACTCAATGGCACGTTCACGAAGCAAGCAGGCAGCCATACTCAGGTCATTGTTCTGTAGCCCTGTGCTGTTTTGTTTTAAATAAAATGATCTGCATGCTTGCATGCTATAGGATCTCTTGCCTACAAAATTGATATGATACCTAAGAGGGAAGCGTGGGGGCCATGACCTGTTTTTAGCTTCTCCCTGCATCTTTTAACCTGTGGAAGGATCCTATAGGATAAGGTTGGAAAGATGATGGAAGGTTTTTCTTAAGGATGTTTTCAGACTCCTGGTTCTAAAATGATTATTGAGAAGTCGAGATTGCTACAATAACTCAATGCCTATAATCTATAATCTCGAGAATAGCCTTACTATATTAGTTTTTGAGACTTGTATTTGATTTTGACCCTACTTTAAAGTTAAATTATTCTGTTATTTTCATGGGTGTCAGAGACCATGAAATTCCTGGGTCAAAGTCAAGGCCATTATTTTTTTCTCACAGCACATTAATGAACACAAACACAGGCATATTTACATCCATGTCCTGCACTCTAGTCTTGACGGGCTGATGCAGTGAAGCCCAGTGCCGTATAAAGAGAGATTTGCTATGGGAGAGCACACCTGCTATGGGAGAGCATGCCTGCTATGGGAGAGCACACCGAGCTTGGGTCCAAGCAGCCAGTGTGTCGCATCTCCATCTCACAGATCCTTCCTCATCACACTAACTGCTGGGTCGCTTGGGTGCTGCAGACAGACAACTGACCTGGTGAGGAGTGGTCTTCCCAGCATTCTTAGCGTCCTTAACGGGATGTCAGAGACAAAAAGGTCAGTAAAGGACTGTCTCCCAATAGGCTTTATGTGTCAGATGGAATCACAGGAAATTGCTGCTTTCAAAGGTTTTAAAAACTTGAGCATTGGTAATTTAATACAGTTCAACTTAATATCATGTCCATGCTAATAAAACAATTTCCTTAATGCTTTTTCTTCTCCTTTTCTTAGGACATTTGAATGACTGCATTTCCTGTCTCCATTTCTTCCCACCAAACTATCAGGAGGAAACGTTCACATTTACGAATTAGTGCATTTTTGAAGTAATTGATATTGTGTGAAAATAATAACCACATACCCAGCTTTCTGTTCTCCTGTAAGTGAGAGTTTGTGGTATTTTCTTACTATTCCAAAAAGGCATTTTATTTCGAAGGATTAATTCATTTAAAATAATACAAATAAAGAAATCTTTAGTGATAGATGTGTTTGTTCATCCTCATCTTGTCAACATGTTCTTTCCCAGAGAATCCCTCCTCCTAACAAGGATTTATTTTTTCCTCTCTCTCTCTCTCTCTCTCTCTCTCTCTCTCTCTCTCTCTCTCTCTCTCTCTCTCTCTCTCTCTCTCTCCTCTCTCTCTCACCCCCTAATTATCCTCTTCATCCTTCTCTCTCTCAAAAATCATTCTTCTCAACATGTTTCCTCCTACTTCCTTGTTTTTACTTTAAACTTTATTTTTTATGGCCCACTGAGTTTAATTAGGGTTGCTTGCACAAGCATGGGTAGAATGGGTTATTCACTGAAGCATGGGCAACTTGCCAGCAGTTACACCATTGAAGAAAAATGACACTTTCTTCTCCCAGTTACTGGTAACCACTAATAGTTCCCCAGAGGACAACACGAACCCTTCCTCTACTCATGAAAATGTTGAGAGACCCAGTCTTGTGAAGGTACCCACAGTACGGGGAGTTCATGAGTGTGAGAGAATGACTTGTCTAGTAGCCATTGTTTGTAGCACTCTTCTCTGTCCTCTAGCTTTTACATTCTTTCTGCTTCCTCTTCCACAATGTTTGCTGAGCCTTGGAAGGAGTGATGTAACATTTAGGGCTGAACAATAATAGTGACTTATTCTCAGCACAATGACCAATTATTAGTGTTTGCATTAACCAATGCCTACTGTAAAATTAAAGCTTCCTTGACCAAGGCCAAGAACAGTGCCAAGCAATAGATACAAACACATTGCCATTTAACAAATGAGCAACTCAACACACTATAAGCTAAGACCAATACTATTAATCAATACTATTAATGTATTAATCAATACTATTAATGGGTCTTAGGGTATATGACTAGGTTTATAATAGCAGGCATAAGTTCCCTCTCCTGAGCGAACCTCAAATTCAACTATATAGTGGTTATTTTGAAACATTAATCTAATTAATCTTTATCAATAAAAAATCAGTAGTCCAATATATGGGGTAAAGATCAGAGAAGCAGGGAGCAGTCACCAGTCACCTCCCACCTCTAGCATTCTCCATCCAAAATGGCTGAGATCCTCTCTCTGTCCTACCTTACTATTTCCTGTCTGCTCTCTGTCTACAGTCTTCCAAACCTCTATGGTTAATTTAGGTCAGCTAGTGGCTAGCTCTGCCCTCTGCCTCCAAGGAAGCTTTATTTGTCAGAGCACAATCAAAGTATCCTGAAACCCCCACCTTGCCTGCGTCCGCGCGAACGAGCAGATCTCCACGCAGCGAGCATCCAGAGAGTCGCGCAGCGCACCGACGGAGCGGATATGGGCAGAGCGATGGTGGTCAGACTGGGGCTGGGGTTGCTGCTTCTGGCACTGCTCCTACCCACGCAGATTTATTGCAACCAAACATCTGTTGCACCGTTTTCAAGTAACCAGAATATCTCTACTGCCCCAAATCCAACCAATGCCACCACCAGAGCAGGTGCCAGTGCCCTGCAGTCAACAGCTGGTCTTCTCGCCATCTCACTTTCTCTCCTACATTTCTACTGTTAGAGACTCAGGCCAAGAAATGTCTCTACTTCCCCATCTTCCAGACCCAGCCCAAATGGTAACCACAAGTCCAGTGTGACCCGGAAGAAACAGGTCCACATCAAATCTACTATTGCCGCACCTCAACAGAAAACATTGAGAATTGATGTGAAGGGTATTATGACAGATGATGAACGCCAATATTAAATCTGATGGAGTTTTATGTTCAAGATGAAGAGATAACATCCAGTGTTGACGACGTGATTTCCTTGAACGAGGCTTAAGAAATGTGGACGCTTACTCTATCTTTAAATGAAGCATAGGATTTATGTAGAGATAAGGATGGGATGTGGGATGAAGATTTAGTTTTCATTGGCTCATTACCTGTGAGGCTATAACACAGCTAGCTGATATTAAAGGTTTCTCTGATGCTATTTATGTATATGTTGGAAGGAACTACCAGGTGTTACTTTAAATCCTCAATGTATTGTTTCATTACTACTAATTTAATATGCTAAACTCTAGGTAAAGTTCCACATTGTTGAGCTGTTCTCTTTGGAACTAAACATTTTACCCCCTCCGGTGGCTTTAAGTTCAACATTATATATGACCTTTATTAGTAATTGTCATGTGCCAGGCAACTATGGATTGGAATCCACCCCCAAATCCAGTCATCACTGAATAAATCTTATTTCAAAAGTCAAATAGTAGGCATTTTCCATCATCTTTTTTCACTCAACAAGAGTGCCAGGTTCACTTAACTGGTTCCAGACAGCAGAATTACATTGACCTCAGCCAACTTCAATCACTGCTTTTTATTTCTTCGTATGTTGAGGGTTTTCATGATTTAAGGTGTGATCTGTTAGGAAGGTAAAATTATGAATCTTGAAATCCTAAAGACAAATATGCAAAGGAGCCTGTTGGGGAAGTCCTGTTATTTGCCTGTTATTTGTCAATAAAGTACTGTTGAGCCTATAGGAATCTAGATAGGTGGGGCTAGGAGTCCAGGAGGATTCTGGGAAGGAGAAACACAAGAGAGTCAACATGTAACGCCATGGGGGTAGGAAGCCTGGAACTATTCTCCGGTAAGAAACATACTTAGATTAACAATTATGGGGTAATTACTTAAGTCAGAGCTAGCTAGTAAGAAACAAGCAAGGCCAACAGCTTCATAATTAATATAGCCTCCTGTGTATTTATTTGGGACTGATACGGCTCTAGAACCAGGCTGGCGGGAAAGCGGCTCTGGAACCAGGCGGGCGGGAAGGCTCCTCTCAAGGAAAGCGTCTCTTAACAGAATGGTTGTCAGGAATGGGATTGAATTTCCACGCAAAATAACAAAAGATTTAAAGGAATTTTAGAAACAGAAGAACAGAGAGAAGCACAGATTTTTGGTAGCAGCATTTTTCTCAGGTGTGCTCTGTTTTGCTAGTGACAAGCTGAGATTCACGTGCCTCGCTTACAGGAGTCTTCCTGACTCGGCATAAAAAAACAAACAAACAAAAAAAAAAAAAACCAGCAAGGTTGTTTTAAGAGACTCTGCTAACGATCGAAAGGTGTGTACGTACAGCTGGAAGTGGCAGCTTTTGCTGGAGGTCAGCATGGACTGAGGCGGTAAGCTGCAATCACGCTTTCACCCGCCATCTTGGAAGGCAGCAGTTTAAAACAGCCGCGGTTTTAACAGATAAGACACGTGGCCAGAAAAACTTAAAGATTTACAGTAAAGTCAGACTTGGATGAACAAACCTCTAAAGGTTTACAGTGTGTTTAAAAATATACGTGAGATTGAGAGAGAAAATGAAACGGCAAAGTGGTAAATAAATACAAAAGCCGGCGTTGTGGTGGCACACGCCGGTAGGAATTACTCCAGAGGCAGAGGCAGGCGGATTTCCAAAGAGAAACCCTGTCTCAGAGAAAAATAAATTAAAATAAATAAAGTAGTAATATATAAATAAATAAGCCACGTAAAGATGGAAAATACACAGAGAGTCTGGATAATGTACGCTATTATGTTTTTCAGTTTTTTCATTGCTAAGGAAGGAACAGCTACTGAAGTACACTTGATTATAAATGCTGCTGAATTAATTCAACTTATATCTTTTGAAAATGCCTTGACTTCAAAATTTAAGTATAGGGATATGTTACTCAGAAAAGGAGTTTTAGTTTATGTTTCCACAGAAAATGAAAAGCTGAGGATTCCTTCCATGCTTCTGTGGTTTGACAAACCAAGACCCCCGGAAGCAGTGGATCAGATGTTCCAACAATCAAAACAGCTAAGATGATACAGTCTTACAGACCCCGAAAATAAGGACTGATGCAGGTTTCTGAGTTTTGTCATGATCCCCATGGTATGAACAGCGCCCCCTTCCAGCATGAAGCAGTTTGAAATGAGCGACGTCCTAATTCCCATCTTGTTTATAAATCTTTGTTTTCATTTAAATGGGGTTGTTTATAATTGGCTAGTTATCACAGCCAATCTTTTTTTAATGGTAAAAAAGGGAATTATGGTATGGGTATTGTTTTTCATTTATTGATACAAATTCAAAGTCAATTTTGTGATATGTATATTTCTCCTCTTGATTAAGTATTGTGCTTATACTGTTCTTTTAAAACATAATACATAATTGAATACAGACTATAGATAGTTACTTATAATAGAATTTATAGTTAGGTAAGTTAAGTTTTCTAGATATATAGAGATAATATTTGAGACAGATAGATAGTCTTCAAACCTTTCAAAGACCTTCAGAAAATGACATTTAAAAATGGTTTAGGGTTTTTCTTGACAATGAGAAATGTCTGCTCCTGGCAGCACCAATTACGTCTGAGAGGAAGATGGGCATCGAAGAAACTCATTATGGAGTTTGCTTTCAACATGGCAAGATTAGCCATTTGGGCAAGAAACTGCTCTTGCCTAGACTGACTGTTGCTGTATAAACTGGACATGCAGGACCCACAGAGAAGTGACTACTAAACTCAGTCTTACAGGGTTCCTGCTTCATGGAAGTGTCTACCAGACTTTCTACAGGACAGAGAAATTACTGACAGACTGCCAATGCAGATGGACAGTTTGAAATTTCCTGCTTTGCTGAGAAATCTTCTGGACACATTGTGGCCTATGGGCTGAAGATGGATGCCCCAACATTACAGAGGAACTTCGGGTGACTGTCCAGGCAGTAAGATGTCTCTGTCAATCCTAGTGTTTATATATTATCCTTCTGTGGTCTTTGATGGAGTTGAAGATAGATAGTTATAATTATAGTTTTCCTTAGTTATGATAAAAGCTACATATAGGACTTTGGACTCACAAGAATGAGATAGATGATATTTTCTTTAGATCTTGCTAAATGTTAATTGACAAAATGTTGTAACTGTGTTCTTACTTAATAACTGTTCTGTCATATACAATTTGACTATGTTAAAATTAAGACCTTTCTTTTGTTTAAACAGAAAAGAGGAGATGTTGGGGAAGTCCTGTTATTTGCCTGTTATTTGTCAATAAAGTACTGTTGAACCTATAGGAATCTAGATAGGTGGGGCTAGGAGTCCAGGAGGATTCTGGGAAGGAGAAACACAAGAGAGTCAACATGTAACGCCATGGGGGTAGGAAGCCTGGAACTATTCTCCGGTAAGAAACATACTTAGATTAACAATTATGGGGTAATTACTTAAGTCAGAGCTAGCTAGTAAGAAACAAGCAAGGCCAACAGCTTCATAATTAACATAGCCTCCTGTGTATTTATTTGGGACTGATTAGAATCTGGAACCAGGTGGGCGGGAAGGCATCCTTCTCAAGGAAAAAGCTTCTCTTAACAGGAGCCAAAACCATAAACCTAGTATTTGGGACATGAAGACTGGACGATAACTTGCATTGAATTCACAAAGTCTTTTATACAATTTCTGTAAATACTTTTTTAAGAGAAAAACAAAACAATGGATCAGAATAGCCACATTTGGAATACTTTGGTTATCAGTTCATATTTTTAGATAGTTTGACATTGGTCCTGTGCCTGAAAGGGGGTTTGGTTCTACAGTTAAGGTTTTCTGACTGCCTTGATGCACACATACCTTCTATAATATAGAAAAATCTTTTGTTCGCATGGTCACACACTGATGCTTACACATTCTGGGATCTAATATGGCCACAGCAGTCTTGATAACCAGAGTCACTTTCTCCATCTTTAGAAACCTACCTGGGAACAAGCTATTGTGTGTGTGAATGAACATTCCCTCCCACCTCCTACCTGAATGCTGTACATCTATTTGATTGTATATTGTGTTTGTGTATTTATGCTTTGATTCATAGTAACTTCTCATGTTATGGAATTGATTTGCATTGAACACAAACTGTAAACAAAGGAAAGAAATGGCTGAAAAAAAGTACCCTGAAACATTGGTTAACCCCATAATAGTCATACCACTGTTACACCCATAAATATGTTTGCTTGGAAGGTTGATATTGTATTTGCAGAGATTAGAGCTGTGTAAGACTATTAATGACTTCTCCAGCATCTGATATGGTTCTGGCACCATGGATGGTAGCCTATAGAACACAGCCTTTCAGCTCAGTTCCAGCCAGACCTCTCTATTCCTAAAACCAAGTGTGATGGCTTGAGCAGATGATTCTTACCATCTACTTGTGGTGGACAACCAAGAACAATGGCGCTCACCTTGATGCAAGGGAACTCAGTGGTCTTTAGGACCTCCATGGCCAACAGCTCCTAGTGAGGTATCTCCTATCCATCACTGGGAGTTTTGTTCAGCAATCTATGACTTCAGGCAGGGCATCACCCACCCATTTATGGCACCTTTGTTCAATGTGTTTAAAAATTATAATTTAAAATAAGTCCATCAAATAGTAGGTTTCCATATGGCATTTTTCAAGTATCCTTAGTTTTGACTAATCATTCCTCCATCCTCTCCTCTCCTCTTCCACCCTAATCTCCTCTTAAACCTTTCCATCCTTAATATTTTCCCATGACTTTCATATACATATATTCTATTATGACCCCCAACTTAAGGCCACTTTCCCCACTTCTTCCCCTAGTAGTCCCTTCCTGAGCTTTCTAGCTACAGGAACTACAAGTTCCTACAGGAATATACTGACCTAAGAATTTAAAGCTAGTGTATGCATATTGTGTTTGGATTTCTGGGCCCAAGTTACTTCACTCAGCATAATACTCTCCAGTTCCCTCCATTTTCACACACATGCCACGATTTGTCTTTATAGCTAAATAAAATTCTATTGTGTATATGTACTGTAATTTCACTATCCACTCATTGGCTGGTGATATCTGGGCTGGTTCCACTCCCTACCTATTGTGAGTAGAGCAACAATGAATGTGGATGTGCACGTATCTCTCTGCAGTGGTATAGATTCTTTTGGATATATGCCAAGGAGTGTTGTTGATGGGTCATAGGGAAATTCTATTATTCCTTTTTTAAGAAACCTCCACATTGATTCACCTACAGTGAATAAGGAATCCCTTTTGCTGTCATTTGTTTTCTTGGTGATAACATTTGACGATGATAAAAATGAAATTACAAAATAGTTCTAACTTGCCTAAATGGCTAAAGGTGTTGAACACTTTAAAAAGTAGCCATTTCTATTGCTTTTATTTTAAGAACTCTCTTTAGTATGGTAGCCCATTGGTTTTTAAGTTGGTGGGGTTTTTTTTAATTCTCTGCATATGCTACATATTAATCCTCTGTCAGTTGAGTAGCTCTTGAATGTTTTCTCCCATTTTGCAGGTGCCTCTTCACTCAATCAACACCTTTCTTTGTGACATAGAAGGTTTTTTTTTTAATTTTATAGGGTCCTACTTGTAAGTTATTGATCTCACTCAGTTCCTGCTGACTGGAGTCCTATTCAGAAACTCTGTACCAATGCTTATATCATGGTATGTACTACTTAAACA